TTGACTGTTGATTTCCCTTCTTCGAATGATCTCTTCTACAAACATACGTACACGTACACCATTTCTGCAGATTAAAATTAATATCAATATTGACATCATGATCAAAATAATACAATTCACAGTGTTAATACAGAAATGACAATAATAAAATACACATCACATTTTTAAATAAGTCACATATGACTAAAATGTAACTCACAATAGGCTAAACATAGGTCGCACTTCATTCTATATAGTTCGCATATTTTTCTTTCATATTCCACTATACATAGTACACGCATACGTCACATATACAGACAGCAGGTCATAAAACAAAATTATGTAATTATATTAGTCTGTATTTCATTTATCTGACTAATTTTAATTTCAATTTCAGCTTTTTGCGCACAATAACATGTAACGAGAAATATCAATTCATGATAAGAACATTTGTGTTGTGACAAAAATATTTGGAATGGTTACCTAGAATATCTTCTCCGGTGTTGATCAGAATTTCCATTGCCTGTAAATTAGAGTTTTCTGCTGAACATGTAACGAGAAAAATACTGTTGTGACTAGAGTATTTAATTTGTGACCAAAATATTTGAAGCGTTTACCTTGAATCTATTCTCCGACGACAATCAAATCTTACGTGGCATGTATTAGATTTTTCTGGTGAACCTGTGACAAGAAAAATCAATTCGTGATTAGAGCATTCAATTTGTGACCACAATATTAAAAGTGGTTACCTGAAATCTCTTATCTTGCTACGATCAAATTTTTCGAATTTGTTGGTGAACTTACGATAGAGTTAGATCATAAATAAAATAAAACTGTGACTGAAATCTTGAATTGTGATTCGAACATTCAATTCGTGACCAAAATAATCGGATTATTACCTAGATTGTCTTCTTCGACAAATGAGAATCCATTTTCAGTATATCAGATTGATTCGAAAATCTGTGATGAGAAACATTAGTTTTTGATGAAAAAGTTCAATTTGTGACAAAAATCAATCGGAATGGCTACTTGCATTGTCTTCTCCGATGATTGAAAGATGTTATGTGTCATGGAAAATTGAATTTCTATGAATTAGTAATTTTGGGAATTGAATTTGTATTGTAGAGAATCCTATTATAGAAGGAAAGTACGCTTAATTGTAAAAAATTTACCTCACTTTTGGAGTTTCAAACTATATCAGTGAGTTGTGATTTTTTTCCCATTTAGAAAAGGAAGAAGATTTATAACACAATCAAAACACCTTTACACAAACACTATCTCTACTTGATAACAATCTTCACACCATATCCCATCATCAAAAATAGTTCAGCAAATCATCTTTATATTAGGACATATAGTTAAATTATTTTATTTAAAAATTTAATTATTAAAGAGAAAAACAATTTAAGTATATATCGTTGAAACAAAAAAATAAAATAAAGAAAGTGAATCTTTTATTGCTCAAATGAATAATAAAACATGTTAGAAACGTACCAGGACCTAATTTATTAGAATCATGGTGCTTTTTGAAGACGTCACGATTAATAAAAGCACAACAATAAATTAATAGTGACATCCAACAAAAATAAGTAATTGAAATGACACAATGATCGTGATAAATTTAAGGATTATGCTACTGGTACATCGAAAGATGTACCTAAGGGGTTACACCCCCCTCACATGACCCACTTGCATAAAGTATTTTTATTTAAGTGAGTCCCACCCCCATGTGAGGTGGGTGTAAGTGTAACCCCTTAGATACATCCCTAGGTACCACTAGCATAAACACTTAACAAATTTAATCAATTGTAATTGTTTTTAACCATACAGCGCCGTGAATAACATACCCTGTTGTTTCCAATTATTCGAAATGCAATTAAAAATAAATGCAGCTTTGGTTTTTGCTATGTACCAATTTGACATCTTCCTTTTGCCTCAAAGATTTTGCTTTCGTCCAATAGTGTAAAAAGAAGCTTTAGTTAGCAATGGGAAAAAAACAAATGAAAGAAGTGATGTGAAGTGTGTGGGAGACATGTCCAAGGAATTGTAATATCAATTTAGCATCCATAAAACTATCTTGGAATAATAATTACTAAATTATCCAGCATTCACATAAATCATATAATTAAGAGAGTTTTAGCATTGTAAAATGTTGTCTCACGTACATTGATGTGTATGTTGTACATATATATGCTAAATACTTCCCACTATTGCATGTGTTTTTTTCCATGCAACAAGACCTAATTGTTAAGGACCTAAAGTATTGTATTCTCATGATATCAGAGCACGATTCTAACTAGGAATCTACTCTCGATCCCAATTATCCGAGCTTGTATGCCACGAAACAAAAGCAGCCCCCTCCTCATCTAATCATGGGTCGCCCACCTTAAACTCGCTCACCTCTCCTAATATATCGGCTCTAGCTCCTTTTGATTAAACAATATATAAGAGCTTTGAATATTTTTCTTAACGACGGTTGACCTTGTAAGATTGAATATAAAGTATTGGGATTTGTTTGAGCCCCATTTTTTAGAAGGAAAATTCTAGTTGTATATCAAAAATGCTACATCAAGGTCTACATCCCCTCACATGGAGGGACCCACTCGAATAAAATATTAAAGTGGGCCCCTTACCCATGTGAGGGGGGTGTACACTATGATGTACACCCCG